CCATCAAATTCAACGAGGCGTTTTGTAAAGCGCTTCTTATCTCAGATTTCTCTTCTTTTCCTTGGTTCTGATGCGCCGTGATGGGAAAGAAAAATTGGCTGTGGCATCGATGCGATGCTTAGGCATTTGGGGTAATTATCAGTTGCTTCGAACGAAGACGACGGCAGAAGTTCGATCGAAACGCGGTCGGTGGATGCTGGCGGGGTAAAGGTTAAAGTATCATGGTCGAAACCGCTAACTTCATTGTTTGTCTTCAGCTTTAGCAAGAAGCTAATTCAGAAAAAAAAAAAGGAAAGAAGCGATTAGACCATCCCGAGAGTGATTGTCGTGATCAAAGTTCTAATTGTGCTTGCCAAGCATGCAGACATCGATCGACGACGTTTCGTTTTTTCCCCAATTTTGATACTATGTACAACTTCCACTAGACTAGTAGTAAAGCTACTTTACTTACCCGCTCAACTAAACCTTGTGATCCCCGCCAATCACTCCCTCTCTTTCGTGATGGATTACTTCGTTGACGGCGGGAGGAGAAGGAGGATGAGGGGCTCGGTATCACATGATCTGAACCTGTTGAATGCGTGGTTCTCGTCACGGTCCTGCACTACACAGTAAACTAGTGTACTTACACTTGACAGTCAACGGGGCCACCTTAAAATTGACTTCACCGAAACTATGTACAGTGTGAGGCGATCGGTTTGGAAAGTTCACTAATCTGCATGGTCTCCATCTTGTCCAACTCGACAATTGTTTCAGGATCCTTCCATCTTAATGATGATGATCAGGAAGATTTAGAAAGCGGGGGTTCTCGTTGGTTGATTTGTTTCTTGGTGTGTCTCTGGCTTCTCTCGCCGGTCAAGTGAAATTGCCCCCGGTTCAAATCTGGTAAACCGACTGCTATGATTATATGTATGGAGTTCGAGTTATGTTTCCTTGCTTTGGTCGTGTCACTGTTCAATTGATCGTTTGTGGGAGTAATCAATTCCATAGAGGGTAGTGTAGTGTGATGGTCGTCCAGATGGGCCATGATGAGCTGGCTTGACTGGCGACTGATAGCCACAAGTGGAAGACGACATCATACTACCCTTTATCTTATCAACGATCATCAAACTCAGGCATGTACCTACTGTGTAGTGTAGGTAAGCGAGAGGCCGCCGCTTGAGAAATTGTCATTCTCGTCACATCTTCCCCGGAAGATTGTTACACCCAAACTTGACCTTGTCAGCATGGTGGCATGACACAAGAGCTCCCCTCGTCGTGGGTTTTTTTTTCTTTTCCCTTTCCACAGTCGACAAGGGCACGTTGATGAAGGAATGAAAATGGATGGAATAAAAGAGAGGTCCCCAAAACGCCCGCCCAACCCCGGTCCCCGTCCAGCCCGTCTCCGCCCGCTCAGCGCTTTAAATGAGATGTGGGGGCAGCGGGTGGGAACGTGGCTTTGCACTGGGACTTTGTAACCTGTGACTGGATGATGTCTGTGACGACTCGGCGTGTCTGGGACTGCAAGGGAACAACAACAAGTGGTGCCCGCAAAGCGACGGGATTGAAGATCATTTCATCCCCCAATCGGTCACGGGGATTTTACGAAACCACCGGGAGGGAGAAGGAAATTTGGCATCTAGTTGAAATCTCGCGTTCAGAGTCATGGTGGGTTGTTGGGGACGACAGCAACTGAGTTCAAGGTAACGAGATACGGGGTCCGATGGCAAATTCTTTGTCGGCACGGGGAAATAAGAAATGGGATCTTCGGTCGAAGGCTTTTTTTTCCCCTTCCCTTTCGCCCTTGGTGCTGTTTGAGATGAGCACGTAGCCGAGGTGGGTTTTGTAGTCTCGTGTTTGTGTGTGGTTGTGTGTTCGAGACTTTCTCTGTGACAACTGAACAGCTTCAAATGTTCTGATGTTCTACGGCTTTTGCCGTGCGGCCGGGGTCGTGATGGATGGAGATGGATCGCCCTGGAGGGGGAGCATGAGAGCTGAAAACAAAGGCTTAGCCGGAGAAAGTTTCAACATCAAACCTCCCGTCGAAATCCTTATGCTAAAAAGTAATGCAAAGACAAACAAAACTCGTATGAGTTGTGCAAACTCTAAAAATATCGGAATTGCTTGTTGGAGAGTTTTTAGCTGCCACTGCCCTGTGGAGGATATCTAGCGTAGTGTAGTGTATCCCCCAGGAAGAGCGCCAAGCCATATTTCCGCTTGGCGTGTTCGGCTGTCGGCAATCATTTGTTACAAGATTTTCCATGCTGCCCGCCCTGACCTGGGCTGCCCACCATGAGTTAGAGAAGGGAAGCCCTTTCTCGCTTTTTGTTTCCATGTTCACTTCATGCCGCTCGCTCGCGGCCTTCGGTGACAGACGGTGGCTTGGAGTTTTCCTGGGATGTCTTGGCCTCGTCCCCCCCTGGGCGAAGCTGGAGGCTGTCACTGGCTGCAGGAGGCTAGCCATGCCCACATGTTGTCGTGGATCCTGCAAGTCCACTCTGGAGTGCAGCCTCACAGTGCAGAGTTGTCTCCGCCTCTAGCTGTTCCAGGTCTCGCTGGTGCTGAGTGAGGTGTGAGGTGTGTCGCCCCCCTTCGCTGTTGCAGTCACTTCAGCTG